GTTCTGCTAACAAATTCAGATTATGAAGTTTTTAATTAGTTATGGAGTTCATTAAAAGATGGCGCTGTTAAATAAGATAAATAATTAAATAATGTTTTCAAAACAACCACCATTTACAACAACGTGGTGCAGTTTGAAGACAAGATTAAGAAACACTCATGCAAATGTTTCAGCTAAAATCGTTTGGTATGCAACAAAAAAAATTTTTTTTTTTACTTATTTTTATTGGAAGCGCCATCTTTTGAAAAAGTTAGCAACTAATTTTGAAAATTGGGGGAAAATATCTCGTTATCTAGGTAGAACGATGAAACCGTGCATTGTCATTCCTTTATTTTTTTATTAATAAATTTTTAGACTTATTTTTAAGTATAAAAAAGATGTTTGTATTTTAATTCTCGAAGCTATGCAATAATACCATCTGCAATGCAAAAAAATAAAATAAATTCATAACAATAATATTAACAATAAGGAAAATATTGACATTTGTTGTTACAAAAGTTGCAGTCAATTGGAGTCATTTATGTCATTTCCAATTGCACAACAAAATGTGTTGAGAAATTTTAAAATTTATAATTCAATCGCGTATTGTGTTGTTATCTAGTAGTATTCCATTGTAACAGTCTAGAAACAATACTTAAGAACAGTTTAATGTAAAAATATCCCTATTGGAAAGAGTATCAATTATTATTATAGTGTGCTCAGCTTTTCATGCCTCTAGTTAAAAGACCACTGTCAGGAAATTTCGGTTGGCTACATCAAAAAATTCATGCCCCCACCCTGTTTTTTTTTCTTCTTTTCTTCGCACATTTTCTCCAAAATTATTTTTATATCCTATACTCACAACCTTAAACTAAACGATTTGAAAATTCCTAGTTGTGTCAAAAATTAGTCATTAATTTTTCAATACATAATAAATCAAAGGAAGTTCAGATATTTTGTAACAGGATATCTTCGATAATATCTAATAGGCCGAAAAATCGAGACTTTCGTAAACAATAGCTGCAGCTCAGAAAAGATAGGAGCAAAATACGATATTCGTGTTATCATAAAATGAAATAATTTTTATCTCTGGAATGAAATTTTCTGCTTGACAAAAGACAAGGTCAGTATAATGCACGATGTGTAATTTGATAAAGAAAAAAGCTTATAAATAACAATGAAAGCAGGATGAAGTGAACAAGATTATGGAAATTGTGTCTAGACCATATTTTGACAGTTAGCGTGTGATCAAGCTGAGATCTTAATATCGATATCTAGTTTATTCTAGGCAAGCATTCATTGCCTGTTGTGATTCTCATCATTTTGATAGCTGCATAAATAGATGAAATATGCAAATGAGAAGTCTGTTTCAGGTTCTTTTCTAGTTTTGCAATATGAGACATCTTGAATAAGTTTGGAATACATGCTGAGAGTAATGACAAAATGGTATTTAAAATTTTCCGCAACTCTGTTGCTATAGATTATGTTAAAATATAGGTTAGTTTTTTATCAACAATTAAATTTAGCAGTGACATATATCTTTAATTTATTTATTTTTTGTTTCTATTTCTAAAACTTCTACACAATATACAAATATAGATTTTACGACTTTTTTTTCCAATTTATATTAGGATGCATACACATTTAACTTACAAAAAATATTGAAAGCAATTGCGCCAATACAGCAATACGATTATGATAAACAGTTTTTAATTCTTATAAATAGAATTGCGTGAGCCACGATGGAACAGGGGATAGAGTGTTCGCCTTTCAATGAGGTGAACCGGGGTTCGATCCCGGCGATGGCTGGTCGATACGAATTCCGCATCCGGCTTGCACAGACCACAGTGCTGCCGTGAAATATCCTCAGTGGCAGACGGATCATGGTTTAGAGTCCCCTTGCCGTCAGGCTAACCGTGGGTGGTTCTCGTGGTCTTCCTCTCCATGTAACGCAAATGATGGTTGGTTCCATCAAAAAGTCCTCCACGAAGGCAAAATTTCTTCCAATACTTGATACAGGAGTTCCCTTGTCTTCTGGATTGGGCTCAAAATTACAAGGCTACGGAGTTGAACATTAGTAGTCGTAAAACTGAAAATTGGGTCAGCTGTTCAACGACGGTTATAAAATAAAATAGAATTGCGTCGATTGCTCATTGGTTAAGGCAATGAACTGTCATTGTGAAGAACTGGGGTATAATCAACGGTGGCGTTTTGAAGCTCACCCAGCTTCTACTTGATGGGGTACCAATTTGCCTGAGAAGTAAAGGCGGACTGTGCGCAGTAGTGGCAAAAATTGCCACAATCGATGGTAACTAAATTGTACGCTGCAAAAAATCTCCGTAAATGTTTAATTAGATACAATTAGAAACATACTTGGTGCAAAGTTTCTAATTGCACCATAAATAGGTTAAATTAAAATTCGACATAAATTGGTAAATATGATCGAGAAATACGTTCATAGTGCAATCGATTGCGCCAAACTTTTGTACTATGAGAGACACAACTAGTACTTCTTTCTACTGTTTTTCCTTCTAACCCTTTCAGTTGAAGTGTAGCCAGGGTTGCGCAGCCTTAACCCTTTAATGGGCCCTTTATTTCTAGTAAAGGTAAATTAAAGTATTTTTGGAATTGAAATTGTTTTAAGAACAGTAACTGATATAAAAAATAAAAAAACTCATTTAGTTTATAAAAAGGCCATTTTTTTGGTGGTAAATATATTTAATATGACCTATTAGGAACTTATTGACTTTTATTTTTCTTTATTTATAAAATAAATTCCTTAATTGCTACAAACTTCAAAAGGAATTATGTATTTTATTACTTTTATACGCTTCTTAAAAATGACAAATAGTTACCAATTTTATTCAAACTCACTTCAAGAAAGCTGAAGTTATTGAAAAATGGAAACCTAAACTGAAAGTGGTAAAACGTGGTGATAAGATTACTTACCACGGCCTGCAAAGGGGTTAAATCAGCAAAAGTTACAAACCCTAGAAATGCAAAACTAATTGCTTTTAAACGTTGATCAACCGCTATTCTTTAAATACAAAGTACTGAACAAAGTACTGAAATATGTATACTGAACAAAGTACTGATACAAAGTACTGAAATATGTCGCTTCACTTAGAATATACTATCTGACTAAACTTTTCAATCGAAACTTGTTGTTCTTGAAAGAGTTAAAAGTACGATAATGGATAAAAGTATTTTATCGAGGTCAGAAAATGGATAATTTTGCTCCCTCTGTCTTATAAGTGTTGCAACTTATATAACTTTCCTTTCAAAAAAATGAGAAAAAAAAGAAAAAAAAATTAAAAATTTGAATGTTCATTTGTATTTTATTGAACGCTTTTTGAATTGGGGATAAAAACTCTCAAACATCTTAACGAAAAGAATTTTGTCAACTATTTGGATACGCCGCGTTTTACTTAGTAATGCTATTTGAGTAAGCATGTCTACCTATTTGTGCCTAACGTATTTTTCGAAAAACAACTCCTTTCCATAAAAAAAAAAAGAAAATTTAAAAGCATTTATAGAAAAATAAAAATAAATAAACATATAAAAATAAATCGCTGTTCAAGTGTTTCATTAATAGAATTTATTTTGCAAAAGCAAAATAGTTCTGTCTGTTATAATTATCTTAACAATATAAATATTTAAATTTGGATCTGAAATTAAATTCCCGTGATTTCTTAAAACTAAAATGGTTAGGAAGATCTAGAAATTTTTATGTTCCGTAAACTTTTACGGTAAAAATGGATTTTACGGTAAAAAGAACTGGCTCCCCGGTACTTTTTACTATAATTTTTTACAGCTTACTAAACTATAGCGGAAGTGAACGATGTATGTATTTTTATGCGATTTCATCCGAATTTAAGCAATAATCTTTTATAATATTAAAAACGAAATAACTGATAAGCTTTGAAGGATATATTTTTAGAAAATTAATAAATAAAGATATTTATCTAGAAAAACTTTTTTAAAATGCAAACTTTTTCAATAAACTTCTTAATTTTTTTTCTCACTTTATCTATAACATGATGAGGGAATGGTCTCGCTAAGTTTTAAGACCATTCACTGAAGTGAAAAATTATTTGCAAATGTTAGATTAGTGACACTCTTGTTGCAGCGCCATCTATCTGTTGTCAAAGGAAACAGTTTTTCAGATTTTGAGAATAAAGAAAAAATTGGTAATGATCAAAGATTTTATTTTTCAGATAATACGTCAATGTATATAACTTTTTAAATTCTTTTTAACTTATGTTTCTAGTTTTTAAATTTTATACTATGTTATCAAATGTTATTTTGATGTATAACAAAAACTAAATGAAGAATTAACCTTTCTAACTAAATAAGCAATCTAATCGCTGACAACTATTCGTAAGACGCAATATCTGGTCAAATGTATCAACTAACGGATATCTTAAAGTGATAAAAAGCAATTACAGTTTATCATTGGTTATAACTATAGTTATAGTTTATCAAACTCAATTTATGGCTATGATAAAACAAGACCTTCATTTAATTAATATAAAATGTATCAATTTAACTATTCATTCCTAACTATCAATATAAATTCATATTATTAAGAATATATGACAAAAATTTTCTGGTAATAAACTTGTGTTGAATTTAACTGAAATAAATAATAAAGTTTTTCTAAATTTAATCTTTTTTTATTGATTACTGCTATTAAATGGCCACTGCTTTTTACATTTTTAGACGCATGCTCCTCCCTGTTGTAAGAAAATAAAGAGCGTCATTCTTTTTAAAAAGTTATTTTAAAATAAACATGCTGTATATAGAGAATTTAAACCTAAATACTTATTCCAAGACACTGCAAATCAGTCTGCTTGTAAAAAGTTTTAATCAGGAATTTTTACTTTCTTAGACGCATGCATATTTTCTCCGACAAAATGGTTAATATTTTTAAATCACGAAAATTTTTGAAAGTATCAGATGAAGAAAAAAATATATGGAATATTATTATTAAGTTGAATACAACAAAAAAATTTTCTTACCTTCTCTAAGTAGTGATCAGCTAACATTTTTTTCCTATTTCGGAAGTCATAATTTCATCTTAAAATGCAACCATTTACGCTTAATGAAAATATAAATATTCCAATATATTTCTCATTTAAAAGCAGAAATTTTAAAATTCTGCCTATTGAGCGATGGGTGTGAAATATGCGTCATAAATTTATTGACCAAAAAATAAAAAATATGGATATATTGCATTTTCAGCAGGAAAACCTGTAAATAAAAAATATATAAATTAATAAGAAATAATGCATGAGCAGGAAGAAGACAAATTATATTTGAAATTACTAAAAAGCTAATTAGAAAACAAATGGTTTACCTCACTTACGCAGATGCTAGCCCGAAAGCAGAGCTACTAAATATAATTTTTATATAGTGGTAAATAATAAAAAAATTCCTAATTGTGGTTAGTTTTACCCTTGCGAATCACTATGAATGAACAGAAAATCTTTCTTTATGAACTTTTGAAATATTAACTTGAATGAAAAATGATTTTAAATCAAATTTACTAAACAAAGAAAAATAAATTGGAACACAAAATTTACTACCACTAGCCCTGTAGAAATCTTACATTCCCTGAATTCTAAGAAATAATGAAGAATATGTAATTTGTTTGCATTTGCACTCATTTTGGAATTTCATTAGAAAATCGGTTTTTAATATTCCTTTAATTGTTTACATATTATGTGGTAACCAAAATCATTTCAAATTAATACCAACTAATCAAAATTAAAATATAATGAAAAATTTTCTTCCACTTTAAATATTCAAGAAAATCTTTAATCCATTTATGCCGCGCGTTCCTTAACCTCTTTGTGCTGAAAGTTTTCAAATATATATATATATATATATATATATTCGAGAGATATATTTCA